CAAAGGTAAGTGCTTGTACGGCTGCTCGACGCGTGCGCAATTGTAAGATCAAGAAGCAACTTGTTCTTTCAAAGTGTAGAGCTTGATCACAGATCAGCTCGCCATCACAGCCAAGACCAGCGACTGGAAAAGCCTGGCAGCATGCGCGTTTGTCAGGTGTTCTTGCTTCAATTGTCGATCGCAGAAGGCTCAACGAAGGGCCACATTGCGTCTGACAGGTCACGCCTCGTCTGGCAGTCCGCGGAGAGAAGCTATGGCCACAGGCATGCATGGGAAGGTGAAAGTGGTCTGCTCACGATAGAGACCGCGTGGTATGGTGCTGAGAGGGAGCTGGAGCTTACTTGCTGACATTGTCGTACGAGATGCCCTCTATCGCACAAGGAGGGTGTGCGTGGTGAGCGGCAGCACACGCTGGAGCAGGAGGCGCATGACTTCATGCGTGGAGCGGGTACTCTACTCACTGACAGAGCCTCCAGCTAATGAGGTCTTTACGTTCTTCGTAAAGCCCGTTCTATCTTGCCTCAAGTCCTCGGCCGCCTCTATGAACGATGCAAAAGCGCAAACGCAGCTCCGTGTCAGAACGCGCAGATTACAACCACGTTCTCAAGCGAAGATGAGGGACGCAACGCTCACCTTTGTTCAAGGGATCATCTGCGTTCGGTTCCAGAAACAGGTACTGTAGGCCCACCATGACCGAATTAAGATTCAAGACTGGCTTCCAGTCCTCTCGCAAGATGTTCAAGCAAACGTTGCCTTCGAGATCCACATTTGGGTGATAGATCTGCCACAAGGTTGCATCACTTTTGAAGTCAGAGCTGTCGGGTCCTCAAATAGCTTCCCTTGGCCTTCTCGAGTCTACACGCACCTTTTGCAAACATCTGACTTTCGGAGGATCATGAGGGTAATTGTTGTTGATCGCGAAAGAGAAGTTGAATGAACCGGCCTTGTACATGCCTGACGAAGCGAATCAAATACAGCACGTCAGCAATTCAAGCTTCGGACAAGATGCCCACAGCTCAGATGGCTGGTCTTGCGCGCTCCAAGCCGATCGGGGTCCTGTTGGAGGTGCAAGAATGAGCTGAGACTCTGAACAGCTCAGCTTGCGATTTGATGGCGGCCTAGCTGGGCCTTTCGGACCTGCGATTCTGTTCCTGGCCCCACACCAGCGCGAGAACGTCACATGGCTCGCCAAACACTGATCTCTTCATTCAATGGCGGCTCATCCAAATACCTGAAATACTGGTGCAGCCGGCAGCCAGTAGCACCCTCGAAAACCGGTCTTATCCCGCAGATATCCGTACTGCATTAGCTCCTCACCTTCATCTGGCTGAATGTTGAGCTGAAAATTGAGCACATCTGCAGGGTCCGGGAAAGTCGTCTTCATGGTCGTCGGCAGCTCCAGCTCGGTGAGGTCTGTGAGGGAGCGTGAAAGGCAGACCTGGAGTTAGAGTCTGCATGCTAGCCAACGCCCGAAGTCCGATCTAATCTGCTCGGCTGCGAGCAAGTGCTGGCCCTTTCCTAGCTTGGCAGCTCACCTTTTTGGACTCTCAATTGTGCTGGACTCGTCTTTGGCTTCTTCTTCCTTGCCGTCTCCTCGTCCTTCTTGAGACTCCAGATCTTGATCATGACGCACGTCTGAGGCCCTTGACTTCCTTCTTCCTTCTTTGTTCGCGCTCGACAGATGTATGCGCTGGCCAATGCGGGCTGGAATGCCTGTAAGCTGTGTGTGGTGAAGCAGTCGCAGCAGGGCGTTGAAGAATCAAGCCGGGACGGGTGGCTGGTGAGAGGGACCAAGCCCTGAGGATGAGCAAAGGAGCGTTGAATCAAAGGCGCGTGCCTTGTATTAGCGGAGGAGGTCTATTCTAGAGATTGAATCAAAGTGTGAGTGGAGCTTTGATCAGGACTCGTATTCAAGATTCTCAAAATAGCAATTGTATGGTTGTGGAGCTCATGCGGATCATTCAGGCGCCAACCAGTTATCTCAAGACTGTACGCTCGACTTGTGGTCCTTGGAGACGCATGGATTTGTATACCCTCAATAATAAAGTCACGGTTATACGGCTTATCACCCAGCATGCAGTTGGGTCACGAGACCGCGCAATTCACGATTATTGATTATACGCACGCGCCACAGCACCCACGTTCGACGTCGCTACGTCGTTCCGCGCCTACCGATGCTGCCACGCTCGCGGCGGGACCTTACCAAAGCACCCACCCGCTTGATCGACCTCTCTATGGCGCTCATCCGCCTTTGGTGCGAGTCTGGTGCGTCGTCGCATCCTAACTACAACACTTGACTCTAAATATATAGACACTGAGTGCCTGGACGTCCCTATCAGGCGCTAAGATGTCCGCGCGTCAAGTCAACGATCCACCCAAGGGGCCAACCAGCCCCAAGTCGCCCCTAGGTCAGAGCTACTCCTTGCCCGACGATGATTACGGAGATGCGGTTCTAGCTCAGGGAAATGCGATTCCTGATACCTCCAGCTCTTCAGCTGCTCTACCCATGGTTCAAGCTTCTGCCGACTCGTCTATTGCCACCGCTATTCCCGGTCTGAATGCTGTGCCAACACCTTCAAGCACACCGCGTGCCGCCCCTTCCATTAGCGGCCGTTCAAACGCCACTTTAGCCACCGCGACTCAATCACCAACTGCTAGGACAGCAACTTTACGAGGTGCCTCCTTGTCTCCGGTGCTCGCAGCTCA